CTATTTTCGAAATCGGGTACTCACCTGCTTATCAACATGGCGATCATGACAGGAGTCCATCCGGAGTAAAGAACGTCATTGGTGTACTTGTTCCTCTTGGCGATCCATACCCAGAGCGGCGTGACCAGGACGTAGCAGGCGATGACGAGAGGCGCGACCCAATCTTGCTTATTGATCGATTCGTACAGAATGGTGGAGATCCAAGAGAGCAGAGCCAAGGAGGTGATGTCTCCTAGACTGGCGGCGATCGGTGTCGCAACGTTGTCCGGATTGATGTGACAATGGCGGGAGAAAACGATCACTCCCGCGGTAATCAATCCGAGGACGAACGAGGCCACAGATGCGGTGACTAGGCTGCTCGCGCACAATAGGTAAGCGTGGTCCAACGAAATGGTACCGTTCCTAAACGCCCCCATTGCGATCGCCACCACAGAGCCCAGAAATCCGACCACTATCGCCTGGCACTGCCAACACGAACTGATCTTCTTTACACAACATACGGAGAGCAACGGAAAGAAACGGAATTGCATTTGGAATCTGATCTCGATCGGGTTGAACGTCGCGAGAAACGTGACGCGTACTATCGAAGGTCGTTTACCGTTGAGGCGCGTTCAACGCGTAACGTAATCAAATAAAATCGTGGCGCCAATGATAAGGCGGCCGCCCGCAAGTCGCACACCTTGCCAGTCCGATATTAAATGAAATATAAATTATAAATTTAACTAACGGTCGCGGGTAAATATTGGAAGGCGTGTTTGGGAATACGTAGAGTGTGAGTCCAACTTACTTGAATCAAGACGAGATTTCCAACGATCATGTACCACTGCTGTTTCGGCGTGTCCATGTGACCGAGGTTCGCTTGCGTGGAGAGCCGAGACGCGAGAGTCATTTCCAAGTTTCCTTTCAAGCCCAACAACGCCGGCACCAGAATGATCAGTTCGCTGACTTTCTCGAATACGACCCAGTGCTGTTTTGGAAAAGGGGGGAATAGTAAGATTGTCGGGGGCGCAGGGAGAAGAAAGTTATTGTTCGTACTTGAACCAAATCTAAAACTAATCCAGCGCCCACCATGCCAAGGCCGGCGATAAGGAACGGTATGAAAACTTGAATGGTAATGGCCAGGTAGGATTCGTAGGATTCGTCCTCGATCAGATCGTAAATTTTACTCTCGGCGACTACATCGGGAAGACGGCCGCTGTCGGTGGTGCCCTCGTCGAAGATCGCCACCTCGACGCAATCGTCCTCTTCGAGGGATTTCTCGATCGTTGGCGGATCGTTGACCAGTGCGGTGGCTGCGGTGGCTGCGGTGGTAACGGTATTAACCCCGACAACGGTGTCCGTCCATGCGTTCGTCGCATTGCTGCCCGTCCCCGTACCAGTCGCCGTGATCATGCTCGCGTCTATGCTCAACCTTCTACCTATCACCGTACTCCCGATCGAACTTGATTCCGAGGAGGTGGTTCGCGAACGAGCCCTCACCGGTGCTGCTATCCTGTGGAAAGTTTGCTTTTCGGAAAGCAGAGGTTCTTTACATTGATCACTGTTGACAGAAAATTCATATAAACCGGTGTGCGATCACGTGCTACATATGTATATGTATACTCTTTCACGCCTGATATGCTCGACAGTGCGTGCATGCGTGCGTGATATCGTTTGAAATTGAAAAGGAAAGGCGGCGTGTGTGGCGGACGTAAATGGTTGAACGTACTTTTCAAATTTCCCTCCTGTAACATCGATGTGGGCGTGTTTGTCGGGAGGTAGTCGTGTCGGATGTTGATGCACCTGGTCCTCTGTCATCTTCTAGTGAGGACCCCGTGCGACTCGCTGCCACGGATATATGGCCATTCTCCTTTCAGAATGATAACGCTTGTCTGAATGTTCGTTCGCTCGCTCGTTCTCGTTGTATGTATTTCAGGACAAGAATCGAGCAAATTACGTAACCAGCGAGGGACGATATCTCTAGCTTGATTCGCTCGGAAGTGCCACTGTAAATGTCACGTCGAAAATTAAAACGCGTCGACTTTTGGTATCGTCTGACCGCCACTCCCGACACATCCAATCTGCGCTTCTAAAGTCCGTATCGAAATTATCCTTTCCATCATTCGTCCTTCCACACTTTTCACGTTCTTCTTTTCCTCTTCGATATCTTCTTCTTTATTTCATCGTCAGCAATTTCGTAAAACGAACCCGATCGTTCTATTGGATCAACCTACATTTCGTCCGCTTCGTATCTCGCAAGAATATAATCGCCATCACTGAAACGACCGCGATCCTTCACTTTCGATCAATCTTATTTAATTACACTTATTCCCTTTTTCCCATCAATTGCACCTTGTCAAAAATCTGTCACGTTGAATCTCGAAAGCGGTTGAAAAGAAGAAGAAGAGGAAAAAGAGACGACACCAGACGAGATGACGAGAGAGAGAGAGAGAGAGAGAGAAAGAGAGAGAGAGAGAGAGAGAGAGAGAGAGAATGATTTTAAGGTGTATTTTGTCGCGATTATTGGATGCCGATTAGCGTCCCTGCTGTTTACGTAAGAAATATAATACATACGTTTGAAGTACAAAAGAAATCCCGAATCCAACAAAGAGGTTACGAAACAAAAATCAAACGCGTATGTACGCAAGTGTACATGTATCGATACTGAATTTTCTAAGAATGTAACGGAAAGATATGATAACTGTACCTTTGTAAAGGAATCCTCGACGGCGTATCGAATCTTGACCAGATTCATAGACTCGAGAAATTTGATCTTTTCAATGTTCTGAAAACTGTGTGTCGTCAGGTTCTGGCAGAAGAAAAATTAACCGTCGTCACGCATTTGGCGGTGTAAGGCTGGTGGCCTGCAGCAAGGCCGTTTCACGCTATGGTTACATCGCGACTGATCTCGATCGTGCATCACGCTTGTCTCCTTAAAACTCACTCAGGACGTTTACCGGGAACATACGCTAAACGGAGCAAGCGCGAATTTATCGATCGTCAGTCCAAGTAAAACCCTGATTGCCTGCCTTACCGTCTGCCTGTCTACCTGTCTGTTTTCCTGCTTTCTTGTTGGTTCACTTATCTATCTTTCTGCTTTCCTGGTTACTCCTTTACCAAACTACCTTCCTATTTGTTCGCACGTTTAATTGTATCTCTATTTCTTCGTTTATCTAACCGTTTATTTCCGTTACTTCGAATGTCCTATAACATAGTCGTTTTCTCTCTCTCTCTCTCTCTCTCTCTCTCTCTCTCTCTCTCTTACACACGCAATCTCACTCTCGTTCTCTCTATCTCTTGCATTGTATGGGTGTTGCGCGCAAACGACGTTTCTGTAAAGAATCGTTTCTCTAACCTGTTTTACATTCAATCTTCCCACCGTCGCTTTTCTTCAACATTATATATGTATATACATTATGTATGTTAATCAATCATGATTAACTCCAACG